GACATCGCCATTGGAGCCGTACTGCTACAGGACTTCGGCAACGGCCTACAGCCCATCGCATACGAATCATGAAAACTGCATCCGCCCGAACGAAATTACTCGATACACGACCGCGAAACGCTCGCGATCGTGCATGCGTTCAAAGTGTGGCGCTGCTACTTGACCGGCGCAGACGTGACAGTACGGACAGACCATCGATCCCTACAGTACCTCCGCGCACAGCCCCACCTCAACCCACGACAGATTCGGTGGCTCGACTTCCTCGAGTCAAATTTCCACTACACGGTCACCTGCAAAAAAGGAGCCTCGAATATCGCCGACGCACTGACCCGCCCCACTGCCCAGATCCATGCGATACTACTCGCCCAGACCAGCCCGCTACTGACAGGACTATTTACCCACGGATACCAAACGGACCCATTCTTCACAGGAGGAAACTCGCCGCAATTTGCAGCAGCCAAGGGAGTCTATTATGTAAAAGCCGGGACCGAATGCATCTGGGTACCAGGGTACACACTGCTACGGGAATTACTGTTACAAGAAGCACATGACGGAGTTACCTCGGGGCATTTCGGAGTAGAGAAAACACGGCAACAGCTGCAGCGGTATTATTATTGGCCCGAAATGTTGACCGACGTACAGCGACACGTGGCATCGTGTCCCACTTGCCAGATCATGAAGTCAACCCAGAAGCGGCCGGCGGGACAATTGCAACCAATCCCACCCCTAGAGCGTGCTTGGCAGCAGGTGACGATGGACTTCGTCACGGGGTTACCGGCCGGAGCGAGTGGGAATGACGCGATCCTGGTCGTCGTCGATCGACTGACGAAAATGGCACACTTCGCAGCCTGCAAGAAATCAATCACAGCCGAAGAAACAGCCCGCCTCTTCATCTCCACCGTCATTCGACTGCACAAGATACCAGCATCAATCATCAGCGACAGAGACACGAAGTTTACCAGCAACTTCTGGTGGAACCTGTGGCAGCAGTTCGGCACGTGACTACAGTTTAGTTCATCATATCACCCCGAAATAGACGGACAGACAGAACGGACAAATAAAACCATGGAGCAACTCATCAGGGCCACGTGCGACAATCCAAACACGTGGGAGAAACAACTGTCACTCATCGAATTCGCATACAACAACGCCCCATCCGCCACGACCCAGCAGTCACCGTTTTACCTGAATTACAGACAAGACCCAACAGTACCCATGACCCCGAATCCCGACAACCCGGTTCCACGCGCGCAACAGTTCGCTGAAATTCTACAAGCAGCACGGACCAGGGTAGCAGACGCAATAAAAAAATCGAACATCATCGCTAAACGCAACGCCGACCGCCACCGAAGACCTGTCACTTACCAGCCCGACGACCTAGTTTTACTCGACACTCAGAATCTCCGACTGCCCATCGCACCCAAACTCCGCCCCCGATACTATGGGCCATTTCGTATCAGCCACATGATAACACCCGTCACCGCCCACCTCCTCCTCCCTGCTGACTGGTACGTCAGCCCCTCGTTCCACGTTAGCCTGCTTCGCCCCTACGTCCCATCCACAAGCCAACTCCCACGCAATCGCCCAGCCAGCATGGCACGACCGCCAACCGAACCAATCATCGTCCCCGACAAAATCCTGAGCCACAGAGTTCGTGACCCTCGAGGAGCCCGAAAGATCGAGTTCCTGATCCACTGGAAAGACCGTACACCCACCGAAGACAATTGGGTTCCCCTGGACAGAATCGAAAACCACCTTGTTCTCACCGAATATCTGCGCAGTCGAAACTTCAGGGACGTCCACGCACTTTCGTAAGGAGGACCTCCTTAGGAGGGGGGGGGGGGGGGGGGGGGTAGTGTAAGGAAAACCGCTTTTCCTTACTTCGCATCCCTGCTCAACGCGTACATCACTGTAGCACCACAGTCAGCGCCGTTACCACTCGCGATCATCGCCTCGACAATCAGCCCGCCATTTTCGCACATCGCATCCCAACCTCACGGCTCGGCTGGTAACCCGCGCTCCGGGCCTCCACTTCGACACTTTCCCAAACCTCAGTCCCAGGCCCGTCGCGCGACAACCACAGTCCATTACCGTTACCACTGTAATTTCGCTATATATTCTTCGCTCATGCCTTCGCTCATTGTACTCTTGCTTCGATAGTGCAATTCTAGTTCATTCATTCAATTGCACCAGTAGCCATCAAAATCACTTGGACAACTATTGGAGGGAAGGGAAATGCTGCGTCCTTGCTGTTTCATTGTGTGGCCTTGGGAGGAGGATCCACCTTGTCCATTCCCTTCGCCACAGCGCAGTCGCTGGGGCTTCGTGTTTCCGCAGAGAAGGGGATCAATTCGTGCTCGTGGTTGTGAGCGGAAGCTGTTGCCGACGTAATCGGGTCGAGTCTATGCGGTGAAGACCCTTTTCTTTGCCGTGCGAGTGCATTTTGTCAGAAATCTTGAGCACGTTAACTATTAGACGAGTCTCTCGGTGACTTGTGTGCTCCCCCTTCTGTAGTGAAATCGTGTGGCTACTGTCTTGCCCAGCGACTCTCACGGCCGATTTTATGAAACACCCGTCTCGTTCACGTTCGGTACCCTTCCAAGAAGGCAAGGCCGTCTTCTTTCACCCCATGATTTGAAGCCTGGGTCTCGGCGAAGACCACAACACTAGTAACGACGTATCAATGGGAGATCTGATGTGATCTACTTGAACTGTACAGTATTCTATCATCGTCCACAAGTCGTCCTCACAGCGTGAATTTGATCCGAGCCGCGCAACTTCCCCGCCCCTCTTCAGACTTGATTCGTCCCGTTACGCACCAACCGCGTTCAACGGTGCTAGGCGATGGGACGGTTTGTGCCCACGAAGGAGTGGGAAAGCGCAGAATGCGCTATACGGTACAGAGCATGACCGTGCGCAGATTACTGAGCAGGTGCAAGCATTGTATCTTGACGCCCTATCCGACCAAGGCCCGTACTATTTCGCTCTTGCGTTCATTTCAGGTCGTCTCTCCAGCAAGTGTCAAGAGGGGCTAGTGTCATGACACCAACTCGAAAACACATGGAGGACTATCCCTCCTGGTGTCAGCTAAACCAACCAATGAGATCGCGGGAAATCGTCCAATGTGCCCAACATTGACACCAGGCTGGAGCCGCGCTCACACGCGGCTCCACTTGGTGTCAACCGTAAACAACGCTTGACACCAAGCCTTTCTTGACACTTGCTGGAGAGACGACCTCAGTTTGCTGGCGGGTAATTAAGAGCGGAATGCTGTACAGTACAGAGAAAGGTGATATCAGGAATAACGCTCACACGGAAGATACACGCCATGCGAATACGTTCATTGGCCCATCTTCGTATCCCCGGATTCGTAGCTGCTCCCTTCAGCTTGATCAAGAAGGCTGCTCGAACCGACAGGCTTGTTGTGCGATCTACTGTTAAGATCCTCCAAGCCGGCCCATGGCGAGCTCAAGTGAGGCGCAACAGTGCGCCAGGCTGTGCTACGTCAGGGTACCATTAATGTCTAATCAAAGTTGGCTTTATGCTTACTGGGTATCCGCTCTATCCCATCCCCTCACGCTGAGCGAGTGAGATTAAGACACTGGGTGTCACGGCGGTGCCGATGGCGATAAAACTACGCAACTTCAGCGCAATCCTCAATCTACCTCCGTTCTACCCTCCGTTCAGCGCAATACTCGAGTTTCTTTCCACCCTACGTTAACAGCCACCTCCCTCTGTACGTGGTGCTTACAGCTGATTGAAACGCGCATTTATACAAAATGGCGATAAGCAAGCTCATTCTACCAAACCTCGACGTCTCCTCCCGGCTATCATCGCGGGCTGTGCTCGCCACGTGTCACGCGGACCAGGTTCCTTTCTCGCGCCGCGTACGCAACAGTCGCGCGGATCTCGATCTGCTCGCGCTGGAAGGCCGGCTCTCGCTGCTCGACGCGCAGCGCGAACTCAATGCGATCCGCTGCGAACAGTTTGTTATCATGTTACAGTCGTTTGTGAGCGAGGGAGAGAGCGCTGGCGACGAGTTGAGAGACGACTGGGAGTCGGGCAGAGGAAGGAGAACGGCGTCTCGCTACAGCAACATCCAAGCAACGGCAGCGCCGGGGTGCGGCGACATCTGTCGCGTTCAATCAGAGCCGGCGGAGATGGGCGACCAAAGGGTGCCGCGCAGCACCCGCCGCAGCAGCAGCCAGAGGGGACGCAGCGCCAGGAGGCAAGCGCTGGCCGCTAACCGCCTGACGCGGTGGGCGTCGTGCGAGCAGCGCTGGAACGGCGGCGACGACGAGTGGTGAAGCCGCCTGCGCTGCCCGTGCCTTCCGACCCTGTTTCCCCTCGCGACGCGCCAGTGCGCGCAGCTGTACATACTCGCTCCGTCCGTCGACACCTTCGAGGCGCACATCTGAGGCGTGTGGTCCCACACCCAATCGACTATACTCAGACAAGCTTTCTCAGGAGGAAATGTGAAGACACTAGAAACGGGTTATCCAACCCGATATTAGCTCTGGGTATGCAACCCAGAGCAATACTACGACGGATTCTTTTAATCAATTATCCAAAGATACGGCAGTCATTCTGTCCTGTACGCTGGATTGGAGTCATGGCTGAATTCCTGCTGTGCTTTCATCACTCACCATGACATGAAGCCACTCCTACTACCATAGTGCAGCCTAGAGAAAAAAGAAAATGGTTACTCTCTCCATCCATGTTCAATCTGCAAATCACAAGGCTTTGAAGATATCCCAGTAGGCCATCTGCTGTAAAATAGTGAATGCGCAGTGCACCACATGGAACTGATGCGGTGATGCAGCTAACATTCGACCTATGTTATCTTCCTTCATCACCTAATCCTCCGCTGAGCTCCCCACTCAAGAAGCCACTTCGCAGCGCCGCCCCGCCCACCAAATTCCCCGTCTCGTTTGAACGAGATGCGTAGGAGGCAGCTCGAAAGGGCACAAGCCAGCAAGTTGCTTGGCAAGCAGGAAGCGTCAAGGCCGCGCGGTGAGCAAGCGCACATGCGCCTCCCTGACAGCGCTCTGCACCTGCGGTGGCAGGCGGTGCAGGCAGCCTGAATGGCGCATGGCGGGGTACCACGGCGCCAGGCCGCTCACCGCCTCTCCCACCATCTCCCACTGCCCCGCCGCCCATGCTGCCCGCACCACCGCCTCTCCCACCATCTCCCACTGCCCCGCCGCCCAGGCTGCCGCCCACGGTGCCACTGAGCCCTCCTGGACCCAATCCGTGCCAGAGGAGGTGCTGCTGCCCGTGCTGCTGCTGCTGCCATCATTGCCGTAAACAGCACTCTTGCATGGCCCGCCGCTGACTGGGGCATGCCAGGTGGCGCGAAGGCGTGATGCCACGTAGCAGAGGGCGCTGTGGTGCAGGGCGGGCAGCATCCACTGGTGAGCGAGCGATGCGAGGTGCACTGCGGAGAACAGGCATGTGGAGAGCGAGAGTGGGGGCAGGCGCACAGAGGAGAGTGGCACAGGAGCGCTGTGATGCCGGCTGGGGCTCGCAGCAGCAGTGGTGGGGGTTGGGTGGCTCATGTTGGTGGGCGTGCGGGTGGCATGGGGAGGGAGGGGCAGGGGGAGGAAGGAGACGCGGGCGGAGTAGAGGAAGCGCAGGAGAGCGATGAGCGCTGGTAGGGGCAGTGGTGGCAGCTGCACCTCGTGCTGCGAGCTGCACAGTAGGCACAGCGCACGCAGAAAGAAGGGGAAGGGGAGATCAAGCAACTAAAATCAAATGAGTAACAGCAAATTGATAAATGACGCTCTAAGAGGGCAGACGGACACGTGCAAAGAGAGCACCATTCCAACCCGCTCAGCCTTCCCAAGGTTCATCCCCCTCACTCCCTTCAAGCGCCTCCCCTTATACCCCCCCTCTCCCCCCTTTCATATACCCCAATCTCCCTTCCCCCAGTCCTCCCACTTCCCAACCCCCCCCTCGCACACTCCCCCCCCACCTTTCACGCATGCCGCAGTGCAGCAGGGCGTGCAGGTACTGGCTGCGCGCGCCCAGCACACAGCGGTGCGCCACCACCCGCACACACCGCCACACGCCCCCCTGCCCGCCCCCCCCCTCACCGCTGCCCCCCCCGTCTGGCCCTCCGCACGCCTCATGCTGCGCCTCTTCCCCATGGCTGCTGGCGCTTGCAGGTGGTTGGTGCGTGGGGGAGGGGGGAGCGTGGCGCGTGCACGGCACACACAGCACAATGTCGCTGTGGGGATAGGGGCATGCGTGGGGGGGGGCACATAGGGAGGCAGGGGAGAGACGAGGTGGTGAGATGGGATGGTGAGGCACGGTGGTGGGGACTCTTGAAGTGATGACGAATGATTACGTTGGGAGGGTTGATGGACAGACGAAAGGGACAATGACTAACAGTATGAACTGCCATGCCCCATGCTGCCATGCCCCATGCTGCCATGCCCCATGCTGCCATGCCCCATGCTGCCACGCCCCATGCTGCCATGCGTCACGATGCCATGACTGCCATGCCTCACCTCCAAGGCAGGCCAGCAGGACCAAGTGCTGACGTCAGATCACACCCCAACGCATCATCACTGCCCCACATCGGCCAATCACAGCGAAGGAGTGCAACGAGCCCATCCAATCGGCACTTCTTAGCCAGCTGCAGCAGATCCTTTGACGGCCAATGAGAGAGCGACACCTGTCCCGTGTAAATATACTCCAAGAGCTGACTGAACGTCTCGCCACTCACACCCCTCCCCAGGCGCACCTCCCTCACCACCCCCTCCTCTCCCTCTGCCCGGACTCCTCCCCTCGCTACCAGCGCTTGCCCACTCGCCCCCCCATCCTTTTCCTGAACGGGAAGAAAGGTGCTGCTATGGGGGGGGGCAGATGGAGAGGCGTGGGCAGGGGCAGGGGGGGCTTTGAGGGGCGAGAGGAGGGTGGGGCAGCGGGCAGCAATGATTGCCGCATGCGCCACCACTCGCAGTGGGGAGGCGACAGCAGTAGAAGTGGGTGCCGAGGGGTGCGTGAGGACGAACGCCACGTGGGCTTAGGGGCTTGCAGGGGAGGGCGTGAGTGGGGTGAAGTGAGTGTGTGAAGTGGCGTGGAGGAAGAGGCCGGGGAGGAGGAAGGGGGGAGGCACGTGAGGGCAGAGCGGATGTGACGGGCCACAGCAGTTGGCACTCCCAGGGGGGGTGGCTCACTGTGTGTGGCAGGCGGATGGAGAGATGGAGGATGATGATATGGCTGCTGCTGAGAGGGCTGCTGCTGAGAGGGCTGCTGCTGAGAGGGCTGATGCTGAGAGGGCTGTTTGGCAGCAGCAGGCAGTGCAGCGGAGGGTGGGGGAGGGCGGGGCAGCGAGCGGCAGAGAGAGAGGCATCGGGCAGCGAGGCAGCGCAGACCAGCGGGCGATGCGGGGTGGAGGAGACGAGTGAGGGCGGGGATGAGGTTGTCAGGGAGGAGTGTGCCGGGGGGGGGGGTGAGTGCCAGTGGCTCTAATGCCACTGCCGTGGGGTGGGATGGTAACGGTTGTGCGCGGTGCAGGAGGGCGACAAGGGCTGTGAGGCCAGAGAACAGGATGATGTCAGCACCTTGCCATGCTGTGACGTCAGCACTGTATGGCGCATGTGGTATGTGCGGTCTCTCATGAGCCAGCAGCATGGTGTCAGCACCCATCTCCCCATTGGCGTCGCTGTCTCCCCCGCCCCCCATCACTCCCACCACCACCTCGTCCTCCCCTCCCTCCAGCTCCCCCTTCCCCCACCACGCCTCATTCCCCTCATCCCATCCCCACTCATCCTCCCCATAACCTTCCTCTCGCGCTCTGCCTGCCCACCCCTCACCTTCCCCCGACCTTCCTCCGGCCTCGCCCTTCCTCCCATCATCACCAAAACCCCCCACCTCCCTTCTCTCCCCCTCCCGCTGCCCCTCCCCCTGCCCTTCGCCCCCCTTGGTCCACAGGGCCACGCGTGCAACCACCACGAGTCCCACGGCCTGCAAGCCCCCCTCCGCCCGCACTGCCTCCCCATCCCGCCCGTCACACGCCAGTGCTGCCACCACCAGCAGCTTCATCGCAGCTTCCACCTCCTGTACTGGCATGTCAGCGGTGAGAAATGGTGCAGAGGAGTGACGAGGGGCGGAGCGCGAGCAGAGGCGGCACGCCAGGGAGGCCTGGCGCACAGCAGCCGCTGCCAGGCCACTCACACTAGGCTCATGGCCGCCCTCCCATGCCCTGCCCTCTGTCCTGCACCCGCCACTGCTGCTACTGCTGCTGCCGTCACCACGTGCCTCCCCTGCAGCGCTGCTGTGGTCATGGGGGCCACTGGGTGCTGCCCTGCTTGCTGCCCGCACACCACCCTCTCTCCCGCCCCCCCCTGTGCCCTGCGCCTCACACGAGGTGGCAGGGCGGGTGGTGGCTGCTGTGAGTGCTTGAGAGAGAGCGGTGCGGGAGAGGGAGGCGAGGGCGGGGCAGGGCGAGGAGAGCAGGGCGAACAGCGCACCGAGCAGGGCGTGAGCCGTGGGCGGGTGCAGGGGGGTGGTGGGTGCGGGCGAGGGTGTGGTGGAGACAGCAGTGGGGTGAGGTGTGGCGTTTGAGGAGGGAGCGAGCAGTGCGACTAGGTGAGCACTGCATGTGGGCAGAACGTTGAGGGGGTTTGGGGGGGAGAGGGGCAATCGAAGGTTAAAGCTAGTAGCAGGCTGTGGGGGAGACAGATGAGCGAGATGGACAAGAGGTGCTAAAAAAGAGTGATGGCAAGTGCAGTGCTGCTGGGGCAAAAAGGTTGCAGAGGTGGACAATAGAATAGGCAAACAGCATCCCCATTTGGCCCCACGAGCAGGAGCACGCGCGGCAGAGGCTACGGGTCCACTCACACCCGCACTGCACTCAGCAGCTCACTTTCCACAAAAACCTCACTCTTTGGTAATGCCCTTCGCCGCTCACCATGCCAGCGCTGCCACCGCCTCCATGCCTGCATGCCCAAACTGCTCCCCCCCCCCCCACCCTCCCCCTCCTCGCCCCCCACCGCCACCACTGCCCGCCCCTCCCTTGTTCTCTTCGCTCTCGCCTGCCTTCCCACATGCCCTGCCTCCTGCCTCCTTCGCCTTCACTAGAGTCACACCCCCCTCTGAGTCACACACTGCCACGTGGCAGAATGCTGCCATCCACCTCACTGCCTCCCACGCTGCTGCCATGACGACTTGCGACCCTCCCACCTGCTCCTCCCCCCCACCCGCCCTGCCGTCACCCCCCCGAATACCCATCTGCTCTTCGCTGCTGCCCTCTGCACATCCTGACTGTTCATACAACCTGCCGCCCAGCAGTGCACGTGTCAGCACAGATGCAGACAAGCCTGCCGCCCACAGTACAGCCGGGTCATGATGGCCACCCGGCCAGCGCAGGAGGCTCGCTGCGGTCTGCCAGGCAGATGCTGCCACATGGCTGGCTGCTGAGTCATCGCGTGCTGAGCTGGCAGGCAAGGAGGAGGATGAGATGAGGCGGAGGGAGGGCAGGTGGGGGCAGTGGCAGCGGGTCAGGGGGAGGGGTGTGTGGGCTGCTTGCAGGGCAAAGGTGAGGAGTGGGGTGAGGGGCGATGCTGCAGTGGTGGTGGCGGGCGAAGTGCAACGCGTGGCAGCAGCAAACGATGGGTGGCTCTGCACACATGTGATGTGATGGGTATGAAGAGGAATCAGGGGGTAAGGATGAGGGACAGAGAGACGGAGCGGGTTGCCATGTAATCTTACCCCTTATACTTGCATGACTGAATCTCTCACAAAACACGAAGGAGCGTTTGAGGGAAAAGGGGTGGGGCGGGAGCAGCATGCATCCATGGGACAAATGCTGGATGACCCCGACAGCAAGGCTGAGTCACCGAGGGGCGTGCATGGCAAAGGAAGGTGCATGGAAGGAAGGATTGTACAGCGAGCGCTTGCAGAAGCGAGAGGGCGGCTTGACGGCAGGCGGGGACAGGTGATGCGGCAGGCGGTGGAGGAGGAGTGTGAGGAGGGCACGGGTGAGGGGTGGCGGGTGAGAGGTGGCGGGTGAGAGGTGGCGGGTGAGAGAAGGGAGGAGGCGGAAGGTCGGGTGCAGCAGCAGGTGGCACATGGAGGGGTCCTGCGCTGCGAGGAAAGGGGGGTGGTGTGGTGCAGAGAGATGATGAGTTGAGTAGAGATCATGGTGGTACTCGACAAGACATTTGCTCAATCATGCCTGCAAGCACAGGACACAATCATCAAAAGGAAGAGGAAAGGGAGGAAATGCTTCAGCCATAGGACCACTTTTGAGGCTGCTGACAAAGAGATAAGGGATGAGGTTGAGGTGCAACTTGAGGGAGAAAAGCAGGCAGGAAGGGCGAGAGGGGTCGAGAGAAGAGAAGTGTAGGAGAGAGGAAAGGAGCTGAAGCAAGAGGGGTTAAGAGAAGTTAAAAGGGGATGAGAGGATTGCCTGTTGAAGGAACTTGGCAAAAGCAGGATGCGACTGCGCTGCTTCTAGTGCCTGTGGGGTAGCATGGCGAGGGGATGAGAGGGGTTGAGATAGCATGATGGGGGAGGTGTGGTTTGAGGTAGTGGGGTGTTGAGAGTTTTGAGGGGCATGGGGATGAGATAAGGCAATGCAAACAGCTGAGTAACTACACGAGTGATATTGTGGCAATCAAACGAGGCAGAAATGAAAGTTGCGACGAGGAACGAAGAGTAAGTGGAGCTGGAAAGAGGAGGAGGAAGGTGGATGGCAGCACTGACTGCTTCTGGGTGCGGGGAGCTGTCGATAAGGAGCAGCACGCGTTGCAACTCGTGGTCCCCCAACTGCTGCCTCAACGCTGCATCATCCGCTGTGTATGTTTGGCAGGGGAGGAAGGGAATAGGCGAGTAAGGAAAGTGAGGAGCAGCACGCGTTGCAACTCGTGGTCCCTCAACTGCTGCCTCAACGCTGCATCGTCCACTGTGTGTGGGTGGGGCAAGGGAAGAAGAGCGTAGGCGAGCGAGCGAAGTGAGGAGCAGCATGCGCTGCAACTCATGGTCTCTCGGATGCTATCCAGGGGTGCATTATCAGCTGTGGAAAGACGGGAAGAGTGACACGTAAGTGGGAATGAGGACACAAAGGGGTAACTGAGTGCCGGATCCTCACCTATTTCTCTGAGTGTGCTGCAGGGGAGACGCCACGAGAGCTCGTCCTCATCCTCACACTCCTCAAATGGCCGCACCGGCTGCTTGCCCCTGCTGCTGCTGCTGCTGCTGAGGCCGGCGCTGCCCTGGGCATCTGCTGTGGCGGCGGCTGTAGCTCCTCCTGCCTCTGCTGCTGACGTGGCAGGCTGCTCTCTTGCTTGGCTCGGCCTTTCTGCAGGGGGACGATGCAAGAGGGGGGAAGGCGGTGAGCGCGGTGAAGGAGTGGTTCTATGTGGTGCACCGGTGTCGCAGAGGAGTGAGAAGGTACACGATGGTTGGGGACGGGTGAGGAGACGGTGAGAGAGTGAGCGACCGGCTGTGAAGGAGAGAAGGACGGAGGGAGTGGTAAGAGGAACCTAGAACAATCCATGGCCCTGCAGGGAGGGAAAAAGAACCTGCGTGAGGGGGACGCGATAGGAGAAAGTTAGCGGGTTGCGTGTGTGTGTCTGTGAGCGCACGCGCGTGTGTGAGTGCGTGCGTGCGTGTGCGTGCGTTGCGTGTGTTGGTGTGCATGCACGCAAGCTAGTGTGAGGTTTGGCGTGTATGAGAGCTCGAAAGAGAGCGCATATATCTTGCACGCGAATAACTCAATATAAGACACCAAAGAACCTTAACAAGCAGCACATACAAATTCCTGAAACCGAAACCCAGATCACAAAATATTTAAACCCAACCCTGAACCTGAAGCCCTAGCCTTGAACCGTGCGACTTTAGAGTCGGCTCAAAAGTCACCTCCTACACAAACCCCAACCCTGAACCTCAACTCCTTTCCCTGAACCCTTCATCCCGTCTCACTCAGCCCTAAATCTTTTGTACGCGTTAGAGTAGCTTCGGGCTCACCTTTATGTGTTCTGCAGCAAGCGACGGAGCAGCTTCCGAGGCGGCGCAGGGAAGGCGAGGAGGAGAAACATGGCGGATGACAGACGGAAGGAACAGGGGGAGTAGGGGAGAAATGAGGGAAGCAACCGGGGGAAGGAGGAGAGAGGGAGGAAAGGAAGTCACAATCACATGTGGTACACTCCGCAGGGTTTCGATGAGTAAGGAGTGTTTACGTTCAAGGGTTGTGAGGCCAGCAGACGTACTAGGGAGAGAGGAACGTAGGGCATTTGTATTTGGCGGCTTGCGACTGGCACACGACGCACGGCTGCTGTCCACCTGCTGCACTGTGACAAGCGAACAACAAGCGCGCGAAAACGCGTGCGACGGTTCGGAGCTTGAGAGAATGCGACGGTTTTGTGATACCTAATCGCCCACTGGCTGTGACTGAAAAGGTGTGCAACTACTCGATTCCTTCGAATGCGATTTTCGCTCGCCAAGTTTCTGATCTGGTGCTGTTGGGGTTGGGGTCAGCGATCAGGACTCTCTAGGATTCTGAGCCAGTTTCAGCAGGTAGGCAGTTTGGCGACGTTCGGGGGCGTTTCCGGGTTCGTTCAGAGCTTGAAATTGGCGTGGTGAGACGGGCCTTGTTTCAGATGGGAGTTCTAGGGGTGGATCATCTCTTTCGTGAGAATTAAGGCGAAACCAGTGTGCTTTGCACTTCTGGTCAGTTCGCGATTTCAAGGAAAACGAGGCAAAGCCCGTCCAGTAAACAAAGGCTGTGACCCCAAAGTGTAGCAATCTCGAATTTTGTACAAACAACTACCGCATTTGCTCGTTCAGCCAACCAATCCCATCCCCTAAGCGCCATCACACTACTATTTTCGAATTGATCGACCAATCCCAAGGCGCGCAGCAGCTCTCCTACGCGCCATCGCACTACTATTTTAGTATTGATCGACCGCGACAAGCCTTCGCGAATATATCGAGTTCAGTATGAACCTTTTCAGGATAGGGCGAGGATGTGTTCTTTCAGGATTCAGGCACGCGATTCCTCGTAAGGTTAAGATTCGCGTTTAGAAACTCGTGATCAGCGACGTCCGTTTCCATTATCTCTCGCATGGTCACGGCCGTTTGAAAGCCGGAGCACCGTCATGAAATCTCCTTCACAGGCGTTTCGCAGTTTACTGCTATTTAAATATCCAGATATCATGGATGCTTTGTTTTCGGCCTCTTCCAAACCAAACGGCAAAGCCCGACCCGCCCGAAATTCGTATCAGGCGCATCAGGAGCAGCATCAGCTACAAGCCCCCGCATCACTGCCTCAGGCGCAGATTCCTCCGCCTCCTCTTTGCCTCTCATTCGGTCCAATACCTCCCTCTAGCAACCGCCAGCGACACCACTAGCAGCAATCCTCTGATCGCGTCAGGCGCCACGATTCCAGCTGGATCCACCTTCTTCGAACTCCTCCTATTCCCACGGGCAGGCCACTGCAAGCGCGAAACGCGGCGGGACTTCCGGCGCAACTCGTGCTGGTTTGCCTCCGGGGTAGGGATCTAGGGAGAAACGGATATGGGGGTGGTGGCTATGGGGGAGGAGAAACCGGGGGAGGTTTGGCTTATATGCCGGAGCGAGTAGTGGTGAGGGGATGGATTGGGAGAGGAGCGGTGAGGACTGCTGTGGGTGGCGGTGGCGGCGGTGGTAACCATGCTACCAGCGCTTTCGATGGTGAAAGCGGACATTTTTAGTGGTGCGGACAGATTCAGTGATGCCAGGACAACGAGAACTGCAGCCGTGGGTTTAGGAGGCATGGGGGGGCATGGGATACTTAGAAGGAGGAGCAAGAGGATCAATAGGAGCGGGTCGAGAAGCAGGGGTTGCAGACGGCAAAATAGGGGCACTTAGGGCAGAAAGAGCTAGTACTGCTGGTACCTTTGTGTCAACCCTATCCGTGCCCCCACTGGCGCTGCTGCACTGGTGGTGCTGCTGGCGCTGCTGGTGCTGGCGCTGCTGGTGCTGGAACCATCAGGGGCACCGCCACCACCAGCAGCGGCATTGGAAGCGGTAGCAGCAGCAGCAAGCAGGCAGCTGCAAGCAGCAAACCGCAACAACAGCAGCAGGAGGGGGATTCCAGGGAGCAGCAAGTCGGATCTATTATCGCGGGACTTATGGATGAAGGACAGCCACGCGCTGCACTGCTACGCGTGTGACCGCGCAGTTCACCATCCTCAACCGCCACCACCACTGCCGCCGATGCGACCGCGTCTTCTGTGGTCGATGCACCCAGCGCTCCATCCCCATGCCCTTAATTCGCCGTGACCAGCCACGGCCGCTCCTGCCTGCTGCTGCTCCTGCTCCTGGCAGTGCTAGCAGTGGCGAATCTGAAACAGCACATCATACCTCTCCTCCCCACCAAACCATTCCCTCCCTTCCCCACCCTCTCTTCTCACCGTCTCCCTCCCACCCCATTCCCCATCCCTCGCTCCTTGGCAGTTGAACGTATAGTCATTTGTCAGAATGAGGAATGGTGTTTCCATTGATGTTGGGTTGGGGTACATATGACAAACCCTAACTTCTGTACCCCCTAAGACAAACCTCACTACAGGCTACAACATTTGACACACCCCCATAGCCTAAGTGAGGGGTGTTCTAGCAAAATCAAAAAGAGTACGGTCACAAGACCAGTCCAAAAGAAAACAAAGCTCAGGGTGGATCACAACGTCACCACACACTCTGAGCACAAGCAACAGTGGCCACAAGGCCAGTCCAAGAGATCACAAGTTATATATAGCAAGTGTACAGACGAAGCAGGCAATAAACTCAAGTCTACACATGACTAGAACCTGTGTCAACAAGGCCTAACTGCACACAACACCTTGGTGGTCACAAGGCGGAAGCGCCTTGGTGAACATGTCTGCAGTGTTGGCCTCGGACTCCACGAACTCGAAGCGAGCCTGTCCACGTCTCTGCAACTCTCGCAGAAGAAAGTACCTGACGTGAATGTGCTTCACTCTGCTCTCCAGTCGCGGCTCACGACAGAGGAGGATCGACGCCTTGTTGTCAGTAAACAAGGTCGGTGCAGAGCTCGGCCGCTCACCAAGGTCGGCGAGCAAGAAGGTCAACCACCGCAACTCCTGTGCCGCCATGGCACCAGCGTAAATCTCAGCCTCAGCTGTAGAGGTCGAGACAGAAGAGGAGCGCGTGGAACGCCAGGAAACAGCCACACCAAGAACAGACTGAACAGTAACCCTGAGTAGACCTGTGAGTCTCAGCGTCGTCAGCGTAAGAGGAGTCACAGTGACCAGTGAGTACGACAGACTGCTGCCCTCCAAGAACTAGCCCCACGCCTGATGTAGTCGCTAGGTACTTCGCCACCCTCACAGCTGCCCGTCCAGTGAACAGGACGGTGTCTCCCTGGCGCAACAAGCGCGCAAGGATGCTGAGAGGGAAGGCGAGGTCCGGGCGAGTACAAGTCATCAGGACATGAGGCAACCCACAAGCTCTGCGTAGGGACCACTAGCTCAAACGGCTCGTCAGGAAAGGGACAGTGAGATCTGTGGTCAACAGCGAGAGGTGTGCGTGTACGGTGGAGTGCTGAAGCCCGAACCGCTGAAGGACCTGCTGCACCATGTGTGACTGTGAGAGTGTAATGGTGCGCGGCTCTGTCCCTGGTGATCTGCAGGCCAAGGTAGTGGCGCAGCTCACCAAGATCAGTGCACGTGGTCTCTTCTGCAGTTGGGACTTCACGTCTGCCAAAGCAACCCTGTCCGGAGTGGCGAAAACGAGGTCGTCGACGTAGACCAGAACAAAGAACGGTGTGAGCCAGACCACGACGACGAACAGCGACGGGTCGGCAGAAGACGGCTGGAACCAAGGTCAGAGAGGGTAGAACACGCAGAGTGTCGTGCCACTCGCGAGGGGCCTGGCAAAGACCGTAAACAGGTCGCCTCAGCCTCCACTGGGTCCCAGGAGGGAAAGTGCCAGTGAAGGCCGAGGGACGACGCAACCAGACCTCCTCGTGT